GAGACAGACAGAAACACTATGAGACAGACAGACATGATAAACACACTGCGAAAGAGACAGACAGAAACACTATGAGACAGACAGACATGATAAACACACTGCGAAAGAGACAGACAGAAGCACTATGAGACAGACAGACATGATAAACCCACTGCGAAAGAGACATACAGAAACACTATGAGACAGACAGACATGATAAACACACTGCGAAAGAGACAGACAGAAACACTATGAGACAGAGAGACATGATAAACCCACTGCGAAAGAGACAGACAGAAACACTATGAGACAGACAGACATGATAAACACACTGCGAAAGAGACAGACAGAAACACTATGAGACAGACAGATATGATAAACACACTGCGAGAGAGACAGACAGAAACACTACGAGACAGACAGACATGATAAACACACTGTGAGAGAGACAGACAGAAACACTACGAGACAGACAGACATGATAAACACTGCGAGAGAGAGAGACAGACAGAAACACTACAAGACAGACAGACATGATAAACACACTGTGAGAGAGACAAACAGACAGACAGAAACACTACAAGACAGACAGACATGATAAACACACTGCGAGAGAGAGAGACAGAAACACTACGAGACAGACCGACATGATAAACACTGCGAGAGAGAGAGACAGACAGAAACACTACAAGACAGACAGACATGATAAACACACTGTGAGAGAGACAAACAGACAGACAGAAACACTACAAGACAGACAGACATGATAAACACACTGCGAAAGAGACAGACAGAAACACTATGAGACAGAGAGACATGATAAACCCACTGCGAAAGAGACAGACAGAAACACTATGAGACAGACAGACATGATAAACACACTGCGAAAGAGACAGACAGAAACACTATGAGACAGAGAGACATGATAAACCCACTGCGAAAGAGACAGACAGAAACACTATGAGACAGACAGACATGATAAACACACTGCGAAAGAGACAGACAGAAACACTATGAGACAGAGAGACATGATAAACCCACTGCGAAAGAGACAGACAGAAACACTATGAGACAGACAGACATGATAAACACACTGCGAAAGAGACAGACAGAAACACTATGAGACAGAGAGACATGATAAACCCACTGCGAAAGAGACAGACAGAAACACTATGAGACAGACAGACATGATAAACACACTGCGAAAGAGACAGACAGAAACACTATGAGACAGACAGACATGATAAACCCACTGCGAAAGAGACAGACAGAAACACTATGAGACAGACAGACATGATAAACACACTGCGAAAGAGACAGACAGAAACACTATGAGACAGAGAGACATGATAAACCCACTGCGAAAGAGACAGACAGAAACACTATGAGACAGACAGACATGATAAACACACTGCGAAAGAGACAGACAGAAACACTATGAGACAGAGAGACATGATAAACCCACTGCGAAAGAGACAGACAGAAACACTATGAGACAGACAGACATGATAAACACACTGCGAAAGAGACAGACAGAAACACTATGAGACAGAGAGACATGATAAACCCACTGCGAAAGAGACAGACAGAAACACTATGAGACAGACAGACATGATAAACACACTGCGAAAGAGACAGACAGAAACACAGACAGAAACACTACAAGACAGACAGACATGATAAACACACTGTGAGAGAGACAAACAGACAGACAGAAACACTACAAGACAGACAGACATGATAAACACACTGCGAGAGAGAGAGACAGAAACACTACGAGACAGACCGACATGATAAACACTGCGAGAGAGAGAGACAGACAGAAACACTACAAGACAGACAGACATGATAAACACACTGTGAGAGAGACAAACAGACAGACAGAAACACTACAAGACAGACAGACATGATAAACACACTGCGAGACAGACAGAAACACTACGAGACAGACAGACATGATAAACACACTGCGAGACAGACAGAAACACTACGAGACAGACAGACATGATAAACACACTGCGAGACAGACAGAAACACTACGAGACAGACAGACATGATAAACACACTGCGAGACAGACAGAAACACTACGAGACAGACAGACATGATAAACACACTGCGAGACAGACAGAAACACTACGAGACAGACAGACATGATAAACACACTGCGAGACAGACAGACAGACAGAAACACTACAAGACAGACAGACATGATAAACACAGAGACAGACAGACATGATAAACAATGTGAGAAAGACAGATATGACAAACACATTGTGAGACAGACAGACAGATATGATAAACACACTGACAGATGGACATATATGCTCAACGTTACAAGACATATAGACAGATATGATTAACACTGTGAGATGGCAGACAGACAGATAGATAGATGGATAGAATCTAATGTCAGACTGTTTGCGATTCTTCTCATCACAGTCTAATCATAATCAGTCTTACAGTAGGGGGTCCTCAGTGCAGCATGATATTATCATATGGTGTGTCATTTGCCGTATGACAGTAGAGACAGCGGTGAGACAGTCATATTTTGAGGTGTTTCATTGAGAGTTGTGGTGGACCGTGTTAATGCAGTGGGTGCATGCTGAATAATGGGGTGTTATGAGGAGCAGGTGGCAGAGGGCCGGACTCAGGCATTAACCCAACAGATGGACAAACAGCGCTCCCTCACTGCTACATATGGACAGCAGGAGGACAAGCGGCTAATGGAGAAAACACACACACACACACACACACACACACACACACACACACACACACACACACACACACACATAAACACACAGAGACAGAAAAGAAAGGATCAATGCGCTACTACTCGCTGCTTTCTGGACAGCAGATCTGTCTGAATCAGCTCATGAATATTCATGCATTGACTTTATAGAGGTGAGGGGGGTATGGGGGGAAGGGCGTCCCACCTGTGACAGCACAGTAAAGAAAAGGGAGGGAGTGACGGAGCGTGACTGTGTGAGACAGAGTAAGCAGAGGATGAGGATGAAAGGAAAAACACAAAAATAAAGGTGGGATAAAATTTAACCGAGTACATACAGTACGCATATAGTAAATTAATAAATAAACTTAAAGTGCAGAAAGCACTTCCCATATCGTTTGTTGATATTGTCCAAGGCCATGAGTCCAATTACACAACTCTCTTGTGAGCAAAGAACAAAACTAAAAAGGTTCAAATAAATACATGAATCAAACAACATTAAATACAGCTGATACACAGACAAGGACGGTTTGTGCTGAACACATTAGGCTTTGTGGGATGAATTATTGGCTGCTAAGAGCATGAAGCCATTGAAATTCAAGAGACACCGAGAAACAAAACACTCAAACTATAAGAACAAGCCTGTTGAGATTTTTCAAAGCAACATATGTAAGAAATATATAAATAAACTACTGTTTATAAGTTTGGGGTCGGCAAGATTTTTTAATGTTTTTGAAAGAAGTCTTGTATGTTCATCAAGGCTGAATTTATTTGATTAAAAATACAGTAAAAACAGAAATATTGTGAAATATTACTGCAATTTAAAAATACTCTTTTCTATTTGAATATATTTTAAAAATGCAATTCCTGTGATGCAAAGCTGAATTTTCAGCATCATTACTCCAGTCTTCAGTGTCACATGATCCTTCAAAAATTATTTTGACATCTTATTATCTACTTATTTCTTAATATCTATGTTGAAAACAGTTGTGCTGCTTCATATTTTTGTGGAAACCATAATATTTTTTCATGATTCTCTGTAACATTGCAAATGTCTTTATGATCACTTTTGATCAATTTAATGCATCCTTGCTGAATTAAGTATTTTGTATTGAATTTTATATTGTAAACAATTTTGATACTGTGTTGTCTTGCCACTTGATGTCCAATGTAAAATCTGGGTTCTGAAGCAAAACCAGTATTGAAACATCTTCAATGCAAGTATGCAGGACATTCCTACACATCCCAACAGTGACTATTATTTTACCAAGGAGGATGTAATTAACCTCTTTTGTTGGACCTGGAACAACATTCCCGTCAAACATATTTTTTCATGATTCTCTGTAACATTGCAAATGTCTTTATGATCACTTTTGATCAATTTAATGCATCCTTGCTGAATTAAGTATTTTGTATTGAATTTTATATTGTAAACAATTTTGATACTGTGTTGTCTTGCCACTTGATGTCCAATGTAAAATCTGGGTTCTGAAGCAAAACCAGTATTGAAACATCTTCAATGCAAGTATGCAGGACATTCCTACACATCCCAACAGTGACTATTATTTTACCAAGGAGGATGTAATTAACCTCTTTTGTTGGACCTGGAACAACATTCCCGTCAAACAAAACATCATCCTAACCCTATTTCCAACCACAACTATTAGTTTTTCTTAAAATTAGAGGGAAATTAAATTATCCTCAAACCCCAAACTTAGCCTTAACGTAACCCTAAACCTAACCCTGAAATCGGATTGGTTAGTTCCAGGAAAATCTAAAAATGAAAAGGTTGGTGGACAAGGTTAATTCTGAAAGAACAGCAGCTCATTACACATGTACCAGATTTACTTGCAGACTTTAAGATGTTCTTGTCCAATTTCACTCCACCTCCTAAAAGCGGATAAGAGCTTTTCATTGTGAGAACAAGAAATCTGAGTCCAGGAAACAGGCCAAGCAGGAGTCATAAACAAGCGCACACAGAGAGAGGAGGATGTGTAAATTATACAGCGAGCTTGTTTCTCACTGCTAACACACTAGGGGCTGAGTGTTTGAGTCCATGACCTGCCAGCACACGTAGACAGAAGTGTATCATGGGATGGGTTGGGGATAACACAACTACTGCTTCAACTTCTGTTTTACAAAAGGCTTTAATCTGATTTCATTTCCTCTACAAAGATGTACTAGTTTCTTATGTGTTCAATGCAAACTTAAGAGTAAAACACTTCTTCAAGCACTTCTAAATAAAGTTTCAGACAGTCTGTAAAAACATCATAAATAGCCCCATTTAGCTGTAAAACAGGGTCATTAAAATGCCTCATACTCCTAAACATTGAGGGCTGACCAATGTGTAACTTTAGATGGGAATCTTTCTTACCTTTGATAGACCTCCAACCTCCAGGTAGAAGCAGACGATAAAGACGTTCCAGGCCACCCACACCGCTGTCCACACAGTATACTGTCAAAAAGATGGACAATTCATTACTCCAACGATTTGTTCCAACATTCAAACACAGGCTACACTCCACAGGTGCAGTCACATTTACTGTTGCTTGAAGACACTTCACAGGCGAAATCCAGTCATTTCAATAGGAATCTGCGCATTTGGCAATTTTGTGTGAGGGTGAAAACCTCCCAAAGCAGATTTCGCTCATTTTCAAGTTGGTCACATGACCCGAAAGCCGCTTAGTTTGAAAGTGACTTCTGTGTGAGCTGTGCTTTAAACATCTTTACACTATTGGCAAAGGACAATGCATTTTCCCATCATGTCATTACAAACCTTTATGACTTACTTGTTTTCTTTTTTTTTTGTCCATACAATGAAAGAGGTCTAAAACAACTTTTGGACCCCATTGACTTTCATAGTATAGACAAAACATTTTTCCAAAATCTCTTCTTGTGCTCCACAGAGGAGTAAATGATGACAGAATTTCATATCACATCACATTTTTTCAGTAAAACCATTCAGTACCATAGTATATATCAAAGTACCGTGGTATTAAAAAAGTGAAATGAAGTGACATGTGGCCGAGTATGGTTACCCATACTAGGAATTAGTGCTCTGCATTTAACCCATCCTAAGTGCACACACACAGCAGTGAACACACACAAACCGTGAACACACACCCGGAGCAGTGGGCAGCCATTTATGCTGCGGCGCCCGGGGAGTAGTTGGGCCTTGCTCAAGCGGACCTCAGTCGTGGTACTGAAGGTGGAAGAGAGCGCTGGTTATTCACTACCCCCACCTACAATTCCTGCCGGACCGGAGACTCGAACCTTTAGGTTACGAGTCCGAATCTCTAACCATTAGGCCACGACTTTACCACCTGATACCATCACTGTACCACTGAACTACCACACTGGAGCACTTTTATGCAAGACATGGCTGGCAACTACCATCTAGAACAAGTTTGAACTCAAGCCGCTCCAGTTGCAGTAACATCAGAGCTGTTGTATATGGGAAACAGAAGTCGAGCAGATGCTTGAAAACATCCGCAGTGAGCGTGTTTGGATTTAGAGCTCAGTCCTGAGAAAAGCACCTTTCTTTTACCCACTCTTATCTTTTATCTCCAGATTTGTATTTTTCTTTGTTCTGATTTGATCTTCTTTTTATAGCAGAACATCTCATTTGAACACCACGCCTTTTGTCTTCCTGGTCGTTTGTACTGTTGTTTACCACACACAATCATTTGGGATTTTTATAAGCCTATAAATACCACTGAAATGCTAATCTGAATTAACGCTCCAAACTGAGCCTGCTGGTATACAAACTCCCGGAAACAGAAAAAGGTACGTGCATTCATTTTTGTCATTATCATGAAGCAGATAGTGCGCATGGGGAGTTTAAAGAGAATACAGAAGTTTATGCCACACAAGAGTAAAAATGGATCTCAGGTTTCCTGTCAGTCCCTTACAGAAGACCAGCTTGAGACGACTTTATAGAGCAATTTCCTACAAAAGAGTTTTTCAAAACACCTTCCACTGGGATTTCCTCCACTGATATACAAAGATCAGAAGACTGTCTGAGGATTTTTCTATTTTGGATAGTTGAGTTTCACACAAAGTTTCAAATGGAGCAAAGTTGTGAAAGTTTACATGAGGCAAACTCCAACCTCAGGAATTACACTGGTAACACATTACTGCAGATTCATCCACCCACCGAGAAAAGCAGTCCCACCTCAAAGGACAACGTTACAGATCACATAATAAATGTTTAAACTACATCATTTATGTAAGAGCTTTAACAACAATACGAGCTTCGCATTTCTGCTCATAAGCACTTTGTTTCAATCACGCCATTGACTTCCATTGTACATTAGATAACTGCATTACATTTTTTTCTATAAATTGAAGGACACGAAGTTGTATTTCACACAAAATATTAATTTAAAGTTAAAACTGGTTGTTTGACAGGATACTGTATCCATTTGTGACTCATGAAAAAATACAAACAGATCAGCAAGACTAAGGCTTTAATACGTCTATCTCTCAGAAAATGAATGTCTTGAAGGGAAATGATGCACCTCAGACAGAATGATTCACACGTCAAATCACTATTATATGGTGACTGGTGTAATTTGAACCCATTGTGAAGCAGAAGTGACACAAGCCTGAGCAATACTCCTCACCATTCCCAGGAGTCTCAGCACCGCAAGTCTTGTTTCCAGGCTTGTCCTTCGGCCTTTTCTCACGGCTTTGTTCTATTCTTGGCTTCTCAACTTTTTTGTCACTTTGATTAACTTGATATTTCTACTCACCATGTGAGAATTTTCTGTTTGAAATTAATTAGCATCACATTTTGGTGTAATCATATGTGTAAATCTAATGTATAATGAGCAGCTCAGAGTATTATTATAAAGATCAGTACAAAATAATGCCTAATTAACTCATCTTCTCAGTTTTATATTTAACTATCTTTATATCGGTTTCAATGCTATCCAGAATGAAAATGCCCACAAATATCAGCAAAACACTAGCAAAATGCATAGCAAATAATGCATTGGAATGGAATATTAACTTAGTATTCAGAGCATAATGAGCAATATACAATGTATCTTTTAATAGTTTAATAGTGGAATAACTATGCATTTTGCAATGATGAAAATTTCAAACAACAGTATTTTGCATTGATATTGCATGACTTCATGTTTCTCACATACAATAAAAAAATAAAAATAACAACATTTAACCCCATTTTGTTTAAACATGACTTGACTTCTGTCAGTCTGATTAAATAAGAAATCAAAATGGATATTTGACTGTGGCTGATGTTACTTCTAGCTCATTTGTCATGCATACATTCTTCTACACAATATACACATTTTGGCAAACTTAGTAGGCCGTCTCTTTTTTCAAAGCATGCAGAAAATTTGCATACTGTGCACAGTATGCTATATTCAGATATGAATTATAAATTATAATGTAGCAATAAGAAGAATAGAATGTTATGCTATTTCAAACATAGCCATGGATTCACTGAGCTATGATGTAAACTGAAGACTATTGGTTATCAAAAAAAATTCAGTATGAATATTAATACTCCAAAAATAGCTTGCTTCCCGTCTCATCAACTGAACTAAAGGCTTGATAATCCTGTTGAACTTGAAGTGAAGCTGCATCATGGACTGACCCAGTGAGGAACTGAAGGGAGCTGGACTCTAATCATTTAATTCATGATAATTAGTTGCAGATTTAGGGGATTAAAATGCCATAGAATGTGTCAAAGTATAAGGCTAGTCCAGTGTCTGCAGTGCTGCGAGTCCATTATCAGCTAAGGGCTGAGTTCAATTCTGTTTCAGAGGCCTGCTGTCTTTGATCAACAGTAAGCAGATTTGCATGTGTCACAAACACTATTTGCGTACAAGCATTTCTAAAACAGTTTGTCATAAAGGAACAGATCCAAATTGACACTGTTATTAAACAGATTTTTAGCTAGCAAAACCTGTCAAGAACATGTCCGGGTCATATTTCAAAATGAACAGAATGAAAAATAACATGATTTTTGTTGTTGTTGTTTTGCATTTTGTGATTATTTTATGACGATTCCTATAATCTTAACTATTTTTTTCATTATTGTAATGCATTTAATTCATGCTTATTTATTTTATTCACATTATATGATTTATTGTAATGTATGGAAGCCTGTTTCTGCCACAGAATTGAAAAATAAAAAGCTGGTAATTGCGACTTATCTCACATTATATTTTTTTATCCACCACAGAATAAAAAATGGTAAATGCGACTTTTAATCTCACAATTCAGACTTTTTTCCTTTCAATTGTGAGTTTATATCTCACAGTTATAAACTCGTAATTTGCAAGTCAACATTTTACAATTCTTCTTTTGTTCAGAATTGCGAGAAAAAAGTCTGAATTGAGAGATATAACCAAACGATTGTAAGAAAAAGTCAAAATTGTAAGAAGAAAGTCGCTTTTTTTATTCCATGGCAGAAACAAGCTTCCATAGCAATGAGATGACAATCTAATGAGAATGACAACTGAGAAGAATCAAAACTGAAAACAAATACAAAAGTAAAATATCCAAACTTTAATTTTGGTGATTAAAATATGACCTGAACAGTTTTTTTGTGAGATTTACAAGGTCATCATAGTAAAGATAAATTAAAAGCAGCACTTACCGCCACAATATAGCGAGGTCTGTATTGAATGGTGCCAAAAAGACCCAGGATAACAACCAGGATGTGGAAGAAGTTTGCAAGGATGGGAGCCCACTGGTAGCCCAAGAAATCAAACACCTGCCTCTCTAATGCCACCATCTGAGAGAGAGAAAGAGTTGAGAGGACATATATTTAGATGAGTGATTCCCTTACGAAAAAGAAGTTTATTCAAGTGTACTATTAGTATACTTCTTTTAAACTAAAAATAGGAAAGTATACTTTTAGTCTACTTTTTATGTACTTCTCAGAAATGGGCTTTATGTACTTCTCAGAAATATACTTAAAATGACATTTAAGTATACTTGACTTATACTTAGAAAAAGACTAAATATATTTTAGCTATAATTGTGCTCCTAGAATCCGTGTTTTCTTTGTTATACGGTAGTGGGCGCTAGTATAAAAGCGTCTGCTAAATGCATTAATTTAATTTAATTTAAAATTTAACTATACTTCAAAGTGTACTAAAAATGCTACTACAAGTATTTAATTAGTAAACTATCAGTATACCTATAAGTTCACTTTTAGTATAGTTGCAGTACAAACTACACATTTTGATGTAAACTAGTTGTGTACTCAAAGTTTACTACTGTTATACTTAAAGTATACTTAAAAGTATACTTTTATGTACTAGAAAGTGGGCCAATTTAGTCCCAAGGAGTATTGAAATAGTACACTTACAAGTATACTACTAGTACACTGATATTTGTATACTTACTACATAAAGTATACTTAAAAATATACTTGAACTTTATTTAAGTATACTTACTAAAATAAACTTGAAGTATACTACTTTTTGGTAAGGGTTCAGATGAGGAATGATCTGGAATAAAAGTTTAAAGCATGCTGTTACAACTAATTTGCATGATCATTTCTCCTTTTAGACTTTGATGATTTTGATAGGACTATCAAAGGATTTTTGACACAAGAGACTTCTTTATGTGTCAAACTCTTAAACTGCCAAATATTTTTTGCAGGAACTATAGAACAACAGACCATCTCAGTAATGATTCTTTCAAATTCAGACGAACTGTGAGATAATGAAACTGTAGAAACATTTGGAGCTGTTCAAACACCTTTCAAAACTTCAACAGAACATAATCCTTATTGCCACACATTTGGAGCCAGTGGAAAATTCCTGATCTATTGAATAAATGGCATATGTACAATTGTATCTGTATCTTACAAGCTTTTTAAACTACACTAGTTGTGGTGCCAGAGTTATTTAGCAACAGCCAACTAATCATACACTTCCTATACACTATAGTCAGGTTAAATGCCATATTGAATTTAATGTTGATGAAAATGAGGCTGTGAGGGATAGATGTACAGTCTTTACAATGGCACACACTATATAAAGGTCCTAGATCACGAAATTTTCAAAACTGTTTTATGGAGTTTTTGGCAAAATTTCTTTTTCTGAAAGATGTTTCCTCAGTTAAACAATTGGTATGCTTGTTAAACAACCATACTATCCATTCAACACACTGTACTTCAATCCCTCTCAGCCTTGTTTTCATTCCTGTCAAAAATTAAATGACACACACACACACACACACACACACACACACACACACTGTGCATTTATTTTAGCATCTAAACGTCAAACATGACAGAAATTGCATTGACTTACACTTAACAACTGCTTCCCTGAATATTGTTGATTATAGGTTATAAAAAACACAAACATGACCATTAGAGAACATTCTGATAATGTTAATCACATAAAAACCTTGGTGTGATGAGACATTTCCACACATGGACAAGCAGTTATTAAAACACCTGTGCTTGTCATGTGCTGCGCTTGTCCAAGTAACATTATTAAACTTTCAAATATGCAAATAAGTATATTAATGCAAAGATAACAAATATACAGTGTGAAATTTCATCATAAAGGTGGTCCAGAAGAGAGATTTTGTCTTTTAAAAGAAATCTGAAATACCATGTTTTTGCATTATTGACTATTTCCTAAGAGAACTCTCTCCAAACGCACTTTACATGATTTCCTCCGAATGAGAAAAAACACTTGTTTTATCATCAAGCATTTAAAAGTGGCTCTTAAAACTCCTCACACATCAAAGAACTTGTTTTTATCATTATAGCATGCATTTGCTCAGGAGTGTAACACTGTCTGCTAATGCGTGGAACACAAGGATGGCGAGTTGCCGACATGACCCCACGTCCCGCCGCCGTCTCCTGTGAGGCTCGCTGTGAAGAGCTGTTTAATGAGAATTCAGTGAGAGTGTGACTGCATGCTGTGAGATGATGAAAGAGGAAAAGACATGGAAACCTGCACCGCTTGCAAAATGAAATAATGCTGTGATAGAAGGCAATGAAATGGAAACATTAATGTCGGTCTAATTAATTTAATCCCACCGGTCACAATAGTGACCGTAAAGAAGGTTTTCATTTATAAAGCTCTAAAAATGCTACTGACTGGTGTTTTAGTGCATTTCCTGCAAATATGTAAAAAAAAATAAAGGGTCTCAATTAAATATGTGCAGTGTCACATGGTTAGTGCAAATTGTCACATGACCAGAGCAGTTTATTTCATGTTTGCACCATGAGAAGGCTCCAAGACAAAAGGCTAGTAAAGTACTGAAAAGATATGACAAAGATTTTTGGTACATGTTATCTTTAAGGTGTCTAGCATTAATATATTAATTCACAATAATTATTTAAGGTGTGCTGTGTGAAGATACAGCAAGCTGTCTAATAACCAATCATGATGTGCCAAGTATATGAAATATGTAAAAATGTAAATGAGATTTGAGACCTACAGCTAACAGTAAGATTTAAATTTCAGTCTGTTCCTCAAACAAAACTGTTGTCTGATATCACAAGACTTGGAATACACAGTACACAAGTTGTATGGACTATTTTATGATAATTTTTGACACTTTTGGTCACTGTCATTCTTGAACATTCTTCAAAACACATGAACATTCTTCAGAGTATCTCATTCTGTGTTCTACACACCAGTAAAGGTTTTATAAAAATAAAGTTTGCTTATTGGCACCAGTGGTTCCAACTAAAGTTTCTTTATAGTGGAAAAACGTCTCTAGGTTACGTATGTAACCATGGTTCCCCGAGGGAACGAGACGCTGCGTCGAAGTCGCTTTGGGAACGCCCTTGCGTGACCGCGTTCTGAAGCACGTGTCAAATCAATCCAATGGAGTAGCGAGACGTCACGAGCGGGGTGACGTAAGCACCAGAAAGTATAAAAGCGCATCCGGCAGAGCGCAAACCAGCTTCGATGAAGTAGCGCCTGGAGGGATGCAGGGAGTATGGCAAAGAGACGCAGCGTCTCGTTCCCTCGGGGAACCATGGTTACATACGTAACCTAGAGACGTTCCCCTTCAGGAACTCGAGCTGCGTCGAAGTCGCTTTGGGAACGAGAATACCCACTGCGCCATACTACCAAGTCCCTGCCTGTGTGTGTATCTTACGAGCACATCACGAAGAGAGCTCGCCATAGACTTTTTCATGATTGTTTTTTATATATGCTTACTTATATGTGCGGACAGACAACAGTAAATAGACAGACACATACACAGAGCGCTACTGAAGAGCAGAAGCTGGTTTGCGCTCTGCCGGATGCGCTTTTATACTTTCTGGTGCTTACGTCACCCCGCTCGTGACGTCTCGCTACTCCATTGGACTGATTTGACACCTGCTTCAGAACGCGGTCACGCAAGGGCGTTCCCAAAGCGACTTCGACGCAGCTCGAGTTCCTGAAGGGGAAGTTTCTTTAGATTAATAAAACTCTTCACACTTACAAAGATCGGTTAATTTAAGAAATGTGCTTTGGGGAACCAAATATGGTTCTTCTATGGCATCACTGCTAAAAAAAACCTTTTGGAACCTTTATTTGTAAGAGTGTAGAGAAGAAAGTCAGTCACACAGATGTGAAACAACATGAGAGTGAGCAAATAGTGACAGAATACTCATTTTTATGAATTACCACTGAAGGAAACCACTGCATTGAAACCACACGAAATGTTTGTTACCAACACAAAGTCAATCAGTAAAACTGAAAAAAAATAAAAATAATAATTCTTCAGCCAAAGTGGCACAGAATTATCAAAACCGACATTGTGTCCTGAGACACCATCTAAAGTAAGTAATTTAATAAATAAACCTGAAAGCTTGGATTCTGCACTTAGAAACTAGTCCCCTTCTATTTACATCCTGTCTGTCCTGCTGACATTTCAGAGCTAAATGCCAGGAAACACAGCATCCCACCTGACAAAGACCAGCGCCCTATATGAGCACGAGTGCCAGGGGATTGTGGGACTGTGGGCACATCATAGACCTGGCAGACACAATTAAGCATCTGCCATGATGGCTTGATCAGAGCTGAACATCTTGGACAATGTGTGGAGCAGACAGCAGGAGCAGATCACACAGAGAGAGAGAGAGAGAGAGAAGTGTGGTGGGGGTGGGTTGTGACAAAAAAGAAAAGGAGTGGGTGATGGATGAGGAGAGAATGAGTACAGATGAGAGTGGAAGAAAGGATACAATGAGGAAGATGAAATGATGGGTAAACAGACGGGTGGGACGTCACTGAAAACAAGCGACAAATGACAGAGAGAGGGAGAGAGAGAATAAAGAAGAGGAGTTGTGAGACTGACAGATAAAACACAAGTCTGTCCCGTTCGAATCAGTGACTGGGAAAGTGATGCCTTCCAAGTCAAAAATATGGACCCACGAGTTGAAGTACTGTATGAAAACAGAGAAACAATACTTGCATAGACTGTAAATAAATAAGCAAATGAAGTAAATATTGGAAGTTTATTGGAGAATGTTTTACAAGTAAATACTATTTCAGTTTTTCTACTTGAAAATTTCATATTCAGAATGTTTCTTGACATTTCTTTGTAATTATTTGTGAAATTTACTGGCAATTCCAGTTACTTGCCAACTTTTATTCTCACTGTAGTATTGTTGTTGCCGCCGCCACCATGTTGTGGAGATGCTGTGTGTTTCGTTGTGAAAGTGAAACTACTTTGTTTGGTCTTCCAAAAGAGGAC